GAGTACTAGACACCATGACTATATATCTCCAGGATAGCATGAAAATAACAGCAGCAGAGGATTTTGATTTGTAACTTTTCTAGGAGTATCTGATCAACTCTCCTAAAAAGGAGAATGCTGGATTAAAATTGTAAACTGCAAGGAATTTGCGTGCGGGTGCATCTACTCCAATCCCTTGATAAAGGCAAGAAATCCATAACTGAGGCATCCCTGACCAATCTGGTTCTGCTTGAAGATTTCCAGCAAAGGAAAGCTCACCAACTCCAGTAAATGTCAAATTGCTCTTACACTTATTCTGATAAAAGGCACCAGAGCAGAATGACAAAGGGAACTATGTTCAAGATGGTTTTCTCATAGTGGTCAACCAGGTGTATTTAAAGAGGATGTAATTGCTCTGAAATATTCCAGCTGATGTTTACCTCTGATCCTGGAGGTAATGTACAACAAAGATAATTAATAGTGATTGATAATTTTATATTCCTTGAAATTGGCTAATCCTCCTGTAAAGTTCTACAAGTTGATATATATTAATATATCATATAGTGAATTTCATTTTTGAACATATACTTTGTGAGAAGTATTTTTGTAGCCTTGTGCACAATGGCTCCTTAAGTATTTAGGGGGCTCGTATATTCTTCTAGTGTTTGAGCCTCACACAAATATGTTTTGCTCTTGCTGAAAAACTTCATTTGGGAACTTTTAGAACTGAGGAGCTTGTTGGGAATTCTACTCCCTCTGTGTATATCTCAACTCATCGAGCTTCTGTCCACAACATTGACAGTGTTCGGTTACTTTTCCATTAGCTGGATAGTTTGGCATCTTTGTCATCTCTTGTGCTTTTTCTTACTAGTTTTCTTCATTCTTTGTCATTTATTCTGTATATATTTTGAAAAAAAATCATTTCAGTTTGCCTCAGCATTTCCCATTTCATCCTCCCTCCTTCCCATCCTCTTAACTTCTGTGGCCACCATCAGTTAACCCTGTACTTTATATAAATGGAAAGTTTTATTATCTGGCTGGCATTCCATCTGTTTATTTTGTCTGGGAGAGGAATATATCGTTCATAAGGATTACAACTATATGTAGTTTACTACTCAAACCCTTAAAAATAGAGCTAACCATCACTTTCTTGTAGAATATTTTGCTGCAACTCTTGTCTTCCAGCAAAAAGTTTTGGGTTTCACTGCATAAGAAATCCAATCTGTGTATCATTCTGTGATTTGTGCAGCTAAAATTATGTTTGCCACAATAGCTCTTAAATGCTGTTATTGGTTGTGCTCTGAAGGTCTTAATGATGACACTAGGAAGTGCACAGAGCATCTTCCTTTCAGTATTGAGGGCCTTTTAAATGCAAGAATTGATGAATCATTGAACCATATTGCTAAGCTCACCTGTCTCAGGTTGGAAGCATCCATCTTAATATTTTTTTTTCTCACTCAAAATCTTTTCCAAAACTTCTTGTATGCCCGCACAGTATTATGATTCATCATCAGTACCAAACCATAGTGTGGTAGTAGCAGCAGATTGTATACTGGGCTTCATACCCCTTCCTTCTGAGATTTGTGAATTCTTATTTTTCCTTCATTTGCGTCTAGTATTTTGCTGTATTGTACATAGGTGCTTCCACATGAATGGTTTTTCTAGTGTCATTAATTAATCAAACCCTATTCTGCAGTTATTCCATTCTCCCTATTTTTTATTATTATGGTGGTAATAAACGAAACAAAAGAAACATTTGAAGAATGCCCACTATTAAATTTCGGTGCACGAGTAGGAGTATTTACACAATAAACATCTCACCTGGGGCATCCCTGTTTTATATTCTTTAAAAAATAACTCAGTAAGACATCAGCATCTTTGGTCATAGTATTATGAAACAAAAAGGTGAATTTAGGGCTATTTGTAGCCACAACGACTGAATATGTTTGTGAATATTAGGAATGTATACTTCAGTGGTTAAGACTGGTGACAGTCGACATACCTGTGCAAAGATGGAATTTTGAAAAATTAGGTTTGGCCAGATTCCCAATCAAGTAGAAGAATTCTATGTCTATACTATTTCTTTCTGCCTCTTTATGGATTACTGTCTTCAGCAGTGGAATGGAATGTCCCAGAAGATGATAGAATCTCTTTCTTCGGCCCTTGTGGTTCATTTCAACTCCATGAGTATAAATTTGTATGAATACTGGCCTTGTAGCTGTCAGCAATTGGTAAGGAAGTGTACTAACATGGGAAGGCTGTGTTTACTCATTTAATTCCTATTCTTCCTCCATGTACTTAGAAAGCTAGCATGGCTTGGGTTTTGGACCAAGTCCCTAGAGATCATGGAAACCCTCTTGGTGACTTTGGGTAGGTCAAAGTTCATCACTGTCTCAGTCTCGGAGGAGGTCAGTGACGAACTTTGAATGAACAAACCTTGCTAAGAAAGCCCCATAATCAGTAGGGCCACCATAAGCCAGAAATGACTTGAAGGCATGCAGTAACAGCTTAATGCCCTAATTGGCTGTATCAAAAGCTTCATAAGAACACGTTTCCCCTTTTGTCTGGAAAAGCAGAGGTAAAGCATGTACTGTAACTTATTTCCAAACAAATTCAGATGTAATAAGATTACATTACATCTGAATTGATTATAGTGTTATGTGTCACGCATTAAGTCTTATTGAATAGCACATAAAAACTTGAAAACATCTACAAAGCTATATTATATAGTACAAAAAGGAAAACTTCCACTCTACTATATGTTTGCATAGGCAAAGAAAGTGTACCTAAAAACATAAATAGCAGTTTTACTTTATGTCAATACTGAGCTTGTGCTGCTTAATGTGTAAAATGCTTCTGAGTTATTCTCATGATTATTTTAACATTAATATTTGGTAGTGCTGAACATTCTCTTGAGTTTAATGTATTGTTGAAGGCTTTCATGGCTGGAATCACTAGGTTCTTGTGGGTTTTTTCGGGCTATATGGCCATGTTCTAGAGGCATTTTCTCCTGACGTTTCGCCTGTATCTCTGGCAAGCATCCTCAGAGGTAGTGAGGTCTTGAGTTGCATGGTTTGCGATAAGCAGCACTGAGAAGATTTGGTCATTTCATTTAGGTGTATAATCACATCACAATTTGCAATGGCTATTTCATAATTGGCATTTATCTTTGTGTTCCATAATACTTTCTGATATTACCTGACAATTGCCTTGTAAATATTTGAGTGGTCTTCAAGAAATGATGAGTGTTAAAAATTCATAAAATATTTTGCAGAAATTTTGCAGAAATTAAACATAAATAAGTATGTACCCTGTTTTTTATGTAATTTCTACAGGATTTCAGGGCATACAAGGAAGATGTACAAGGAGAATACACAATTAACATTAAATTTTATTACTTTAGTGGCAGTTAGGTTTATTTTATGACTTGCATCAAAATGCGTGCGCATGTGTATAACTGTATGCTTCCATTCTACAACAAAAGCTGCTCGTCTAACCCAGCAGATTTTATACAAGGAGAGTTTGTGTATGGGATTTCTGTTCATATTGTGTGCTAGTAACTTGATAATTTAGGTGCAAGGTTGTGCACTTATTGTTATATTTATTTATACCCTGCTATTTCTCCCCCAAAGGGAACTCAAAGTTCTTGAAGTGGATGAAATTATTTCGATATCTAAAAAAATCCTTTGTTTACACTTGGCCAGTTTAAAGCATGTTGTCTTTGAATAATTTCTTTTCTTTGCAAGGAGATAAATATAAACCATTGCCTTTCGTTTATATATGGCATGAGTATGCCTTATTCAAAATGCTTGAGATCAGAGATATTTTGGATTTCATTATTTTTTGGATTTTGGAATACCCACATTTGCATATCTGTACATAATGAGGTAACTTGTTTACACATCCATTTCATTTATGTCTCATAGACACGACTTCATACATGCAGCCTGAAGGTCATTTTGTACAGAATATTTTTAATTATTCATGACAACGTTTTTGTGCATTGAACCATCAGAAATCAAAAGTGTCACTATCTAGGTCTTCCATTTTGGAGGATTTTGGATTTTGCAGTTCCAGATAAGGGATGTTAAACCTGTACTACAACTACTTGGAAATAATATTTTTTGCTTAAAAAGTTATCAAAATCTTTTTTTTAAATCCTAATAAATTGCACTGTAGTACCAAGGCTGAGTCCTTTGGGTGGATGGGGCCACATAACCCAAAGAACACCGCTTACTATCACTAGGCTAATAATATTATCTGTCTCCTAGGACTAAAAAAATACTTTGTGATAATTATTTATATAATATAGATATAGATATAAAGATATATTATCACAAGGTATTTTTGTTGGTAGTCCTAGCAGAGACAGATAATATTATTGGCCTAGTGATAGTAATCACTAGAGTTTTGTTATCACAACAAGCATGTAAAGCTTTAAGAGAAGTCACTAAGGTCACCCATAAATCTCATGGCTGTGAGGACTGAACTTTGGGTTTTCCACATCTAAGTCAAACATTGCTTCAGAATCTGGTCTAGTACAGATGTAATACTACTATTATGAAGAGGCCTTTTCAGTTGTATTGTACAAATAATGCAATTGCTCCCTCTATAAACATATATGGTTAGTGCCTTCTATCATCTTTTAGGTAATGGGGAACCTTGCTGCACTTAGTTTTCATGCTATTTAATCTTCTTTAATTGCCTGTTAATGCTTCTGAATGTTTTCTTTTTTTCCAGTACTGTACTTAAAATAGTATTAAATTGCAATAGAAGTCCCTATTGATTCTTTTTATCTATCACTGGTTTAACATGTACCTTTTAAAGTTTGGAATTTCTATTTTATATAATGTTTTGACAGTTTTATGTTATTGTAATGTAAACTGTCTGAAAGTAATTGTTTTGAATGGCGATACTTCTATGTTGAAAATAAGCACTCCATTAGAAGTGACTTGTCAATGAAATGTCAATTTCTAGCAGGTTCAGTGTATTCTCTCTCTTTCTCTATTTGTCTTCCCCAGTATCCTATGATGTATGGGCTGATTCTTGCCATCTCCTGGTGTTCATTGGTTTGTTGCAGTCGAATATATATGGGAATGCATTCTATTCTGGTAAGAAAAATGTTCCAAGTAATATATTCTAAACTGGCTTATTCATACAATTCGTTTCCTGCTTTATTAGGAGTTTATGTGTTTTCTATGATCTGATCTGTTCTTTGAGGAAATCGGTTTTAATAATGAATTTCAGATTACTCTTGATTTATTGAAGTACCGAATTGAAAGTTTCATTACATATAACTATAGCAATTCTCTCCTGACCACAGGTCCTAGTTAAAATAAAGGTCTGCCGTTGGAGGGCCTTGAGGAAGTTTGAACCTTAGAACAGTGTCAAAAGAGCAGACTGTTATCTTCGGCATCTTTAGGAGTCATGAATTCCTTATCAACTAGCCTTCCTTGAGATGGCTTCCTTAAAAAAAGGTACACAACAGGCTAGTTCAAACCTACAATAATTCTACAGCATGGTTCAATATTATGTGAGTGAACCTGCTCAAGCAGTGTACAGGAGGCCGTGAGTAAAATATTTGCTCCTAGTTTTAAACTAATAGCGAGCTTCCTGCTACTTTATCAAACCATAGAGGCATTGGGTTGCTGTGAGTTTTCTAGGCTATGTGAACATGTTTCCAAAGCATTCTCTCCTGACGTTTCACCCACATCTATGGCAGGCCGCCTCAGAGGTTGTAAGATCTAGAGGCATTGTCCACTTTGTGTGCTACATAACTTGCTCTGTGGTGTAGATGGTAGTGACTGAGGTCCTGCCTAGTTTTGCCCTTGGTTCCTCTCCCCTACTGCTGATATTCTTCATCCTGAAAAGGCTACCCACCGGATCTTTAAATGATAGTCATTCTATAAAAGGGAATTACAAATTAAACCTTTTTGAATTTAGTCATAACTGGGATTTTAGTTAATCTGGAAGTTTTGGTTTTGATTTTAATTTCCATTGCCAAAAGAGATGGAAAGACATGTGGATGGTCAAAAAGACTCATTCATGTGTTAAGGGCAGAGTCATTCAGATAAGCAATAAAGAAGCAGTTTTGCTAGTTCCTTTTTTCGGAGCATCTGGTATTCTGAACCTCTACCATTCACATACTAACCAGGACTGACCCTGTTTAGTTTCCAGTGTCAGATGGGATCTGGTACCCTGAAGGGATTTATGTGTCCCTATGCTCAACCCCGCTGTACAGGTATATGTAAACCCACAGAGCAGCTTTACAATGCCATATACCAGATACATTTTTCCCCATTTTATTTTATTTCGTATATTTCTATCCCGCCCTTCTCCCCACAAGGGGGACTCAGAGTGGCCTTACATAAGCATCAGAAGATGCTAGTGACATAAATACCATAAAAATACAATTAACAATAAAATCATTTAAAAACATTATATAACATAACCAATAAATTTAACAATAAATTAACTTGCCATTAACGTACAAATTAACAATAAATTTGAGCAGCATAATCGTAATGGGATTGTGCGCTACCGTCTGGACTTATGCATTACTTTTGGAGAAAAGTTTTATCATGCCACTCCTCAGTTCTCCACTGGGTATCTGGGGCTTTTCATAGTTTTTTTTCCCTCCAGCCAATATGGTTTCTTCTCTTCTACTGGTAGTTGTTTGTAAAGGAACTACATCATAGCAAACTTGCACAAAGACATGAATAAGACAGAACAAACTCGACACTGAAGTCTATAATTATGTAACCATGAGAAAAGGTATTGCAAAAACTTTCTTAATAGCCCGATAAACAAGTTATGGGAGTTTGCATTATAATTTATAATATTCATGCTTTGAATATTCACAGGGTTTGGACAGACAATACAGTTTTGGAGATATAAAAGTACTGTTGTCTTCTTTATTTACAATTGGCATGGGCAAACATACGTTTTCTGTATTTTATAGTGTTAGTGAAAGTACTTAGCCATATCAAAAATCTTCCTTTTAGAGCAACAATGGTGCTGTGGATAGAGGTTCTTTTTTTCATTCATTAGTCCAGCAGTTCTCAAACTTTTTTGGTCATGAAACCCATCAAAAGATACATTTTTCCCCTCTGCGGAACCTTAACTCTGTCCCTGAGTTTACCTTAACTCTGTCCCTAAGCGCTGCAACCCACAAAGCGCTTCCTTCTGTAATCTCCTTCTATTGCCTGTTGTTTTGTGAAATGTAAGTCTGGAAATAAAGAGATTCAAATTTCATTTTTAAAACAGAGATACATTGAATTTTAATAAGTCTTCATATTCTTGCATGGACTTTTAAAAACATTTTAAAAAGATATATGATGCTTTTGCAGAACCCTAGGATTCTGCGGAACACAGTTTGGGAATTGCTGCAATAGACATATAGACATATATTGTGATTAGGACTGATATTTCACTGACACACTTGTCCTTTCTTGTTTTATCTGTTGCTTTAGAATTGTGTTAAAAATTGGGGTAGTAAAAAATTGGTTTCTTTTTAATGAATTATTCTACTTTTTCTCCCCCCCCCCTTTTTTTTTTTTTTTTTTTGCAACAGGATGTCATTGCTGGATTCTTTTATGCAATCCTCATTTTGGTTGTCTTCCTTCCAGCTGTGGACCTAGTTGACAGCTTCAACTTAACCTGCAAGTATGCGCCACTCATTATCATCAGTCTCCATCTGGCCTTGGGGATTTTCTCCTTCACTCTAGACACCTGGAGCACATCTCGAGGGGACACAGCTCAAATCCTGGGTTGTGGTGCTGGAGTTGCATGTGGCTCTCACGTCAATTACCTGTTGGGTTTAATGCCAGATCCTTCCACAGAGATGCTTCCAATCGTGACTCCCTCTTTCACTGTAACTATCTTGGGAAAAGCCATGTTGCGGTTATTGATTGGAGTGGTGCTTCTATTGCTAACAAAAACTGCCATGAAGAAGATTACCATCCCACTGGCTTGTAAAATCTTCCGTATTTCTAATGGTGATATCCAACAAGCCCGGCAGCGTATGGAGGTTGAACTGCCCTACCGCTATATCACCTACGGAATGGTCGGATTCTCATTGATTTTCTTGATTCCATCCATGTTTCTCATAATGGGACTCTCTTGATGTTGGTATTGTTGTTATTATTATTTTGGTGTGGGAAAAAGAAGTAGATATTTGTGAGAGAAACTGAATGGCTTGAGAGATATAGAGGTGTTCCACTGTACTGTCTCTGTTTAAAGTAATGCCAGGCAGAGAGAGTTCAAATCTTTGCTGCCAAGGTAAAAACTTAATAACTTCAGGTCCCTGAGAAATGCCATGTCTAGTCTTGTAACAAAATGTGTTATGTGTGTGAGTGTATAATGATGTCTCTGACTATAAATGTACCCCCTTTCTCTTAATTTGAATATGTTAAAACAGGTATGTTTAGCTGATCCAAAAGTTCCCTCTGTGGTCAGTTTAAGCCATTTCATATTAAATTATTCGTTTCTCTGGACCATAAACCGCTACAAAGGAAAAGTTTGCTTTCTTTGTACCACTGCACTCCCAAATGTTTTATGCAGGAAGGAAGCTATTCTATTGGTTCAAATTTTAAAAGAGAACTGGCTTAGAAAAAAAGGCATTTGAGATACTTTTCCATACTCTAGAGCAACTTAAATTTGTAAATATATACCAGTTACATCCAGGTACTGTATTTTTATTTTTATTTTTTGGCTTGATAATTGTGCCTTTTTGTTGCTAAATTAAAAAGCACCATATACTGTGATGTGTATATACACATATATTATATATATATAAAAGCCCATGACTATTTTAAATTTTTACTGAATTAGGCTTATATTTTAAAATGTAACTAGTTGCATAATTAACAAAATAAAGACTTTATCTTCTGCATCAAAAATATTAAAAGGAATGAGCTAAAACCTATATTGGAGTTCACTAGCTGTGAACCACATGCTTAATTCTATTTTGTAGGTATTTTTCAGTGCTGCGTTCATTGTTGGAAGATCATATATTTTTCTGCTGATTTATCTTAATTTATAATATAGCTATGCTATGTCCAAAAGTATAAAAGAGGGCTAAAATTACAAATCTAGACATGTAAGTGTTTAATATAAGTTAATTATCCCCATATTTAAACATATGCAAGACTTGCACAGCTATGAGTTGTGAATTGTGGTTCCCAAATTATCTTATCTGTTTAGTCACATTTAAACATTCTATGATGTTGTCCATTATTGACCAAAGTTTGATATATTGGTGGATATTATATCTTTGATAGCACAACTTGATACCTTGTGGGCAACATGCTGGTTGGGAAAAAAAGAGAGAGAGGTGGGGCTAAGCATTAGGCTTGTGCATTTCGGCAAAACCTCAATCCATTTCTGCTGGGTGGATTCTGGTAAACCCCCCATATCTGTTTTCACTTTCCTCCTGAAAATGGGTAGGTAGCCAGATAGCTGTTTTCGGTCCACAACCGAAAAATGCGGCTAGATCCGGGCCATTGGTGGCAGTGGGAAACTTACGAGGCTCCCCTTTCCATTCCTGGGACCCTTTCCCTTTTTTCCCTTCAAGGGAGCCTGGATTTCAGCAACAGGGTTAAGGAAGCTGGCACAGCTTGCATAAGACACGTCACAATGTTCTTCAATTCCAGTTAGCTCAACAGGCAGGGCTCACAGGGAAACCCTGTGTGAGCAACATGTGGCAGCCTCTTTGCGCACCTTGTGATGCCAAATTGGGGAGGAGGAGGAAAAGCCATGATCAGCTGCCACGTGGTTCCGTTACAGATGGAAAAATGTGACGGCTGGGCCCTTGCTGTTACGGCCACCCAACCAAGCCGAACAAGCCGGATTGGCTGAAGGGAACCAACCACTCCGAATCAGTGCACAAACCTACTTAACATTGCTTTTTTGGTGATATATGAGCTTCACCTTCTGGGAATTAGCCTGAAATGAATACTCTTGAGTTGTAAGAAGCAAAACTATAGAAGTAAGAGCATATTCACTCACCTAACACTGGCTTAGTCTACTACATGAAAGCAAATAGTGGAAATAGATAACTGTACCATTTATCCGCAGAGGAGAAGGGGCATCATTTCAGTACCAACCCCTATGTTCAACATGCACACATTCACTTTAGTTATCTGTACCAGAGGTTATGTTTTGGGCTACACTTCCAGAATCTAGCCTAGCGTGAATCTGGCTGCCCACTTTTCCAAACTCCTATCTGTGGTTCCTAAATTTATCCTCAAAAAGTGCCATCCTACAGCTAGTCAAAAATCAGTATCTGTGTACAGTGCACATATGCAGGGGTATTTAAATGGGTAAATGGACATTCAGTCGTCAGTGCTCTGTGGTCTCATTCTCATTTTTACAGATGTTTTCTATACAGCCGGTTGTGTAGACAAAGCCTTCATTGAACTTTTTAAAAAATGGCAGTATTGATTTATCTTGTTTCTGTGAAAACCTTAAGGCAGAAGTGTGAATAACATGGCCCTTTGTATGTTGTTGGATTACAACTCTCAGCATTGCTCACAATTAGCTTTGCTATCTAGCTTTGCTAGGCCTTCCAGTTTACCAACAGCACAACACAATGTTCATACTTGCCTTTCAGCCTAAATCCAATTGTTTTTCCCACTTTGAGAAAACTTTTTGAATTCTTAGCACATAAATATTAATTTGCAAACTTTCCAGTGATTTAAAGGGTGTGCTACTCTAATTGGGAGTGGGAGCCAAGGTGGTGCAATGGGTTCAACCCTTGTCCAGGCTGAACTGCTGACCTTCAGGTAAGCATTTCAGCTCCTGTCTATCATCCCCGCTTCCCATGTGGGGACATGAGAGAAGCTTCTCACAGGATGGTAACACATCCCAGCAGCCCCTTGTAAATGTCTCTACAGACAGCTGATTCTCTCACACCAGAAGCGACTTGCAGTATGTTCTCAAGTTGCCTATGACACGATTAAAGAAAATCAGAAGTAACAATTTGGTTTAGGCTTAGAAATTTTACAACAATGCACTTTTTATCTTGGTAGTATGAAATTGCTGTTTCCAGAACAAGTTTGAATACTGAGTCTTTTCTAGGACATTCATTACTTTTTGGGTATGTAATTTTAAAGCTGACTTAATACAAGCTGTTTGTCCCACATCTATTGAACCCAATAGATAGTGTTTGTTTTTTAATGCACTGGCATATGGTCTGCTGTTCAAGTTTGTTCAGGAGTTCCTAATATGATATTGTGACTCTAAAATAAAACTCATATTACATGTTATTACATGTTGATCCCCTGAAGAGAAAAGCTCAGATCACGTTATATTATCATTATTAAGACAAACTGAATGTCATAATGTTGTGAGCGAGGTTTGAAATATTGTAAAATTCTTCATTAGACTGGAGGTTAAACAAAGCAGAGGGCAACAGCTTGGCATAGCAAAGTCTGTGGCTTTTAAAAGTCTTCAGCCAACAGGATGAGTTACGCAGAAATGACTGGATTAACCTCATTGAACAGATTGCAAGGTGCACCTTGGGACAAGGAAAAACATGTTCAGCAAGTCACTGTACGCTCATGCTTGCTTTCTCAGAAATAATCTTCACTGTACGACAGATTGCAGGATAAACAATCCAAAGAACAAAAGTACTCCTATTTCTTCAGTAAATTCCACTTTAGCAGCGTTAAAAGATGGAATTAGTAACTTACAAATGGTCAGTGGCTGGAATATAGGTTAGATTGAGGTTAGATTCCTGGGGATTTCCCCCTATTTTGAGTTGTAGACACTGAACCATGCCAAAGTGCTTTTGAATATTCCTTTAGTTTCAAAAGAAGTATATCATGGGGTTTTGAAGCATTCCTGTTCAAACAAGGAAACATCAATGTTTTGGATTCATGGAAATGCTTTCATTCGCTTTTTTAAAAAAGCATGTCATCACAACCACCAATTCCAAATATCAGGAAATAATTGAAGGATTACTACAATTAGAAATAGGAAGTGTCTTTTGTAAACAGCTTATCATGCAATAAAACAACTTCAGTTCATAATAAAGAAAAGATGCAATTTCAAGTTCCGCTCGACAATAGAATGTGCAAAAAATGGGATGCTTTCTATTCCTTCCTGTAACACCAGGGAGGGAGGACACCAGTTTGTGTAAGAAGCATGCACCCATGTGCAGTCCTCTGTCAACACTTTAATATCTGACTTGCTCTGTGTGTTGTAAAACAAAAGCCTCTTAGCTTGGAATCACAGGCCTGAGTCTCTCTTGTATGAAACAAAGTATCAACGTTTATTCAAACATTCCAAGCTCCAAACGATTGTGGTTACAATTACTATTTTTGTTGCGAACTTGAGTTACAGTCATGTATAATATACTTGGTGCACGTTCCTGTTAAACTCTTGACAGGATAATATTGTAACTTAAGCCACACTGGCTATAACTTATTCTCTGATTCCCCACTGTCTCTCTCTCTCAGACAGGGTTAACTTCTTCTCTTCACACAGATTCCTAACTGTTCCCAAACAGCTTTTCCTTAACTAATTTCACAAGCAGCCATTCTCAACTAACTGTCTAACGGAGATTCCTCACTGTCTCCCTCAGACAGTGTTTCTTAACTTCTTCTTTTAGGCAGAGATTCCCAACTCTCCTTTTCTTAAACAGGAAGTCCTAACTACTTCAATAACAGAAGTTCCTGACTTCTTTTCTCACACAGAGATCCCTAACACATTTTCTTAACTGCTCATTTCTCAAACTGCAATCCCTACTCAACTCACTCTCTTTTTAAAACTCTCTCTCTAACTCCCCTCCTTTTTGAACTTAACTCCGCCCCTTTAGAATGTTCGGCCCTGCTCTTCCCAACTGTCATTTTGTCTCCCAACCTTTTGAAATCCTGGGGCTATGCTAATCTGCATATGACCAATCAGCCTCCATATGCAAATAAATCCGGTCCCTCTGTTGCTATCCTCTCTTGTCTCTAATCTTCCTTATCTGCCCCCTGCGAACATAGATCTATACACTAAAATTTTCACACAGAGTAACAAATTCGCTACACTTCCCTTCTCAGAATAAATTCATTTTCAAAAAGACCACAAATCACCCATGCCTTATTAGATATTTGGGCTGAAAAAGTTGAATTACTAGATTTCACCTTTGGAGTCAACGGTGATTCAGAAAGCGATCAATAGTTACATAATTCTGCGCTTAAATTCAACAGTTCTTGGAAAATGATTGGGTAGCAAATATATTTTTCTTACATCCTTGTATAGTAACCATAGTTAATTTTAAAGGAAAGCACAGGAGGAAGAGGAAATAATAATTATAATATTTAGTTACATTTCCATTGAATGGCTTGACTATGCTAACAACAAATGTTGATAGAAGTAGTTGAAAGGGCTAAACAGGGAACAACTTTTTGAAAGTAAATAACTTCCATGTATTTTCCCCCAAGTTGTTTCAAGAAGCACTATTATGATCGTTAATGTAGAAAGAAACAGTTTCACTGAAAGAACCGGTTTTATTGGGTGAATATTAATATGTAAATGATGGTGTCCAAAGTTTTAAAAGCATGCACTGTAGCATATTCTACTGTTACTCTGTATTATTTTTTACACTGCCTGTAAGTCTTTCAAAATGAATTAACCCATCCACATTTTAAGTTTGGTCTGTATTATTTTGCTTTAAGCTGGTACTTGGAAGCCTTAATCGTAGATCACCAATTCATTTATATGATTTGAAAATAAAATGAAATATTTGAGTGTGCAATTTCATATACTTGGGTACTCCTGATACGTTGCAGTGGGAATTGGGACAGGTAGAGAAATGAGGCTCTGCAATTTGGCATTATTACTGCTTCAGCAAACTTTTATCAAATTATACTCCCTGAGTGGTTCCATTACTTTGAATTATACAAACATAAAAACCTGATGCAATAAATACTAGTAATTATGGAACATATTCATATAGCTTTCAAAGAGTGGCAACAGAAGGGTTGATTTTCGGATGCAATAAAGTACAGCTGTGTTAATGGCATTTGTTCCACATTTCTAAAGAATGACTCAGCAGGAGATTCTCCTGCATTAACTCTTTTGTTAAATTGAAAAAAAGGACAGTAGAGTCTCGCTTATCCAACATAAACGGGCTGGCAGAACTTTGGATAAGCAAAAATGATGGATAATAAGGAGGGATTAAGGAAAAGCCTACTATACGTCAAATTATGTTATGTTATAACTTTACCATGCATTGAACTGCTTTTTCTATCAATTTGTTGTAAAACATGTTTTGGTGCTTAATTTGGAAAATCATAACATAATTTGACGTTTAATAGGCTTTTCCTTAATCCTTCCTAATTATTCAACATTTCCGCTTAGCCAATGTTCTACTAGCCCGTTTTTGTTGTATAAGCGAGACTCTACTGTAATTTGACTTTTAATATATGGAGATAACCAGTCTCCACCAAAAGCATTTGCAAATTGTAGAAATAATTCCTTGCAAATAGTAGCAAGGCGCGAATTGAACTAGAAGTTTGCGCACAGCCCTTTCCTCTTCTCCAGACCTGACTCCACCAAATCAGAGAATTCACACCATCATCTTTTGCTTGGAGATGAGTGATGAACAAGGGGGAAATGGCTCCAAGCCCTGAGATCTGATGTCCCTTCTTCAGGCCAATTAAACTGAAGAGAGTAGTACCGATGGAAAAAGGTACATCATATTTTTTCAGCTCTTCCTTTCAGGGCAAGTTGGGGCACCTCCACACACATGGACCAACCCCTTGAGTCTTGTGCAATACCTATATTAAATTTTGCTTTTAATTTACACATTTAAATTTAGAATGATGCATAGATGGTTCTTTTAGATTGTTTTCACTCCCTAAGGGCTGCAGGTAGGTTGCAATCTAGAAGGATGCCATTTCCACCCCCATTACTCTTGAAATAATTTGAGGAGAGGAGAAGAGGGGGAATTCAAAAGTAAGTATTTTTTAGGATTCATCAGGCACACGAGGAATCTGTATAATGACCAAGTTGCCACTGTAAGAACAGACCATGGAACTACAGACTAGATTAAGATTGGGAAAGGAGTCTGGCAAGGCTGTGTACTCTCACCTGACTTATTCAACTTGTATGCAGAACATAGCATGCGACGTGCAGGGCTTGATGAATCCAAGGCTGGATTTAAAATTGCTGGAAGAAACATTAACAACCTTAGATATGCAGATGATACCACTTTGATGGCTGAAAGCGAGGAGGAGCTGAGGAGCCTTATCACGAAGGTGAAAGAAGAAAGTGCAACAGCTGGGTTGCAGCTAAACATTTATTTACATTTATTATTTATTTACAGTATTTCTATACCGCTTTTCTCGCCCCTAGGAGGACTCAGAACATAAAAACCCCAGATTACTTACTAACTTACTTAGGCGATCCCTCGTTTTCCGAGGATTGTCTTCCAGTATTCTTGTGGGTCCGTATGTGGCTGTGGAGCCCTATTCTTGCTCTGCATTGGTTTCCAGGTGGAAGGTGGTCTCAGTTGGGGTTGGCTTGACGCGTCTTCCTCTTGGCATGCTTTTCCCTTTCGCCCTCCCAAGATTATGACAACCAGACTGATTGATAACTGGTAAATAGAAGGAGAAAACGTGGAGGTAGTGACAGGCTTTGTATTCCTAGGTGCAAAGATGACTGCAGACGCAGACTGCAGCCAGGAAATCAGAAAACGTTGCCAATGTATGGCAGTCCTCAGGTGATCCAATTATGGGGTTTTCTTGGAAAGAAAAAAGGCACAAAGTACAAAAGGGTGGAAGGATAAAGAGGGAAGGGAGGGATGGAGGTAAGAAAGGAAAGAATGATGAAACGTGGAAGGAAGGGTGGAAGGGAGGGAGGGAAGGATAAAGGAAAGAAGGACAAAAGGGAAGAAAGCAAGGAGAAAAGGAGGAAAGGGAATGAATGAATGAAGAATGAAATTGTGGAAGGAGAAAGGGAGGGAGGGATGGAGATAAGAATGACGGAGGGAAAGATGAAAGGGTGGAAGGGATGGATGGATGGAATAAAGGGAAGGAGGAAGGAAAGGGAAGGAAGGATGAAATGGTGGAAGGGAAGGAGAAAGAGGAGGGAAGGAGGAAGGAAGGATGTTTAGAGAGAAAAGGATCTGAGAAAAAAGAGCCCAAGGGGCCACATCCAGTCCCTGGGCCTGGGTTTGCCCATACCTGCTGTAAACATTTCAATTTCCTTTTCTCTCTCTTTGTAAATGGTACAATTGTTCCCATTCTTTTGAAAATTGCCAGTTGATCTCTCA